CTCGCCAGCCACTAAAAACTGAGCTTCATGTGTTTAACCGAACATTTCAAAAGTTGAAAATGTTACTACAGTGTAGTTATCCACTAAATGGTTTATTTCTTGACCAACAATGTGTCGGTATTGAAAAAATTACCAGACGTTCGCATTTGCATTGCTTAGGAAGCAGCATGTTTTAAGGCACAGCATTAATGCTAGCATATCGATGGTTGCAACAGCGACGCATACACGGATCTCGCGCTCACAAAAGCCGCACACACATCTCTCGTGCTCAGTAGCCGTTGCATCAACAAACATACACACGCATACAACAAACGTTGCGTGACATATATACGTTTGTTGTATGCGTGTGTATGTTTGTTGATGCGACGGCTACTGAGCACGAGAGATGTGTGTGCGGCTTTTGTGAGCGCGAGATCCGTGTATGCGTCGCTGTTGCAACCATCGATATGCTAGCATTAATGCTGTGCCTTAAAACATGCTGCTTCCTAAGCAATGCAAATGCGAACGTCTGAAAATTACTCACCCCTATAACATCCCGTTTACACCCTGTAGGGCAGGTCAACCTTGATATTATCGATATACTCACTATGCCCCACTGTTCCACGGTATAAGTCTTATTGATAAACATCGTACGACACAAAAAGGAACACCGCCCTTTGTACCAGGCTAAAATTTTATGAGAGTAAAGGGACGTAGACCCGTTATTGAAGGAGATGGGGCAAAATAGTTTGGAGCAATATTGTTCTCCTTGGAACGCTGTACAACTTTGTTGAACATACCCAAGTGATAGCCCCTGCCCCAGCCCCAGAAAATGGGTATAATATGATTTTTTTACCCAAAAAATAACATTTTTTCATATAACGGTATTTTTCATTTACTATGAACAAATGGAAATATTATGTATACCTTTGGAGTACTACAACTCTGACCCAAGGAGTATTGCCCTACCTCCCATAGTTAGGGAGCTATGGCCCTGGGAAGTGATACCTTTATTTTGGGGTTGCCAACATATTCCCAATTTTAACCCCTTTCCTCACAATTTAGGGGTTGGGTATCTATATATAATTTATCTACACACAATACCCTTTAAGATGATATGCATTAGAACTCTGTACAAAATGGCCCAAGCTCCATACAAAACGGGACACGGTTCTTTGCCCAATTTTCAGTTATCAAACGAAAATAAATGTAATCTAAAATGAATATAAATGAAAAAATCGCTCCATGAAGTGAAAAAACGTCACTTTTTTTATCTGATGCGGATGATTGTATGTATATACTTTAAATTCTGACTATGCAAAATCGCCAGTGCCAATGACTCTCAGTATATAAGCATACGAACAGCTGTTGGTTATCAAAATAAACAAACTTCATTATTTCTTATATAGAACATTATATTCTCAGAATAAAAAAAATGAAACGATTGGATTATTATTCATGTTGCAACAATCGATTATTATATACAGTTATAATTATACGATTGCGTTGCGATATGACTTCAAAAAACGAATCATTCGACCGGTTTGATTTCTCGTCGCTGCGAAAGTACAATGCGAACGACAATTTAGTCAGTTCGGAGTCATAAATTGAATAATAAGCATCGCTCTCAATTGAAAATGAGCTCAAGAAAGAATAAGCCGAAACATTCTGGATCAACGATCGACACATTTTTTCAACGCCCGGGTAATTTATGTCGTAATGAAATATCACTTCGAAAGGGGTTATTTATTTAGTGTTATTACTTAAAATAGGCTCTACGACAGTTGAAACGCATACCACGCAAAATGAACAAACTGATCAAGACAAACAAGTAAATCCAAGCGCCGATGAAAGTAATGCCGTTCAAAATTCCAACGAAAAATCAATGCCACATGATGAATCTGAAAGTGTTTCAATTGATAAACCTGATGAAGCAACTGGTAAAATTCAGTGTTGATTTTTCTTATTTAGTATGAAATTTATTCATGGCAAAATTTTGCCTTCAAATTAGGATCCGGTGCAAATACTGCTGATATTGCCGCACACAGTGTTGCGGATAATGCTACCGAAAATGCATTATCATTTGAAGAACAATCCAGAAGGCATTTAGAGTATTTCAGCGTTACTACGAATGGAAAGAAAGATCGTAACGTTCGATGCAAAACGTGTGTAGCACATCCGACAACGGTTAATCTTTTCTCTAAAAATAATAAACCAGCACCAATTACTACAACCGAAGGAACGGGATATCGTAAAGAGACAGTTACAAATCATTTGGCATCGGTATCTCACATTGAATGCACAAAGGCTCAACTTTTGTTATCGGTTACAAGCGGTCAAAGACAAGGTGCTATGGATTTTCACATAACTCAAGCAAATGAATTAATGGCCAATCGCATTGGAAAGCTGAGCAATTTTTGTAGTAATTCCAAATAGCTCACTAAACTAACAATCGTCAAATCGTTGCTCTGGAGTTTCTTGTGACATCGCTGAAAAACTTGCAAAATATCCGCCACACAGGCAAGCATTTGGAATTACTACAAAAATCACTTGACAGTTTGAAAGGTGAACCACTCTTAGGTGGGTGGGAAGGTGCTTTGGAGAATGAAATTGTCGTGAATGAAGACGAGAAACACTATCTCAAAGAAGTTGAACTTCAGTAGAGTGGCCGAACACGAGCACAACAAAATTTCGATCCAGATTCTCTACGTGAAAGCATTATCGAATCTATCATTGAAATCATCAAAAATCGTTTTTCTTCAGACGATGAATTGGTTCGCATCATTGAGCCTTTCATTAATTTTCGTGGTGATGCAAATTTGAAGGAAGTACACGAACTGTTTTGAAAGGATTTAGATCTATCATCTCTCCATTTGCAATACAAAGAACTCGTGGAAATGAAAACTCAGCTTGAACTTGGCTCGAATTTATTAACAAATATACATGTGCTATTGCGAAATGCAGAAAATGCGTCTAACTTTGAAGATGTTTTGGTTCTACTTTGTCGTATACAAATTTGCACGCCACATTCGGCAGACGTAGAACGATGTATAAGTGCGAATAACGCGTTGAAGACAGTACGACGCAATCGTTTATCAGTTGACACCGAAAATAAATATTTATATATATACTACAATATGCCAACGCTCGAGCGTTGGTCACCGCGACGTGCGATTGTTTCTTTTTTGGGCGATAAACAAAGACGAACACGAGCAACAACTGAAAAAGCAAAAGAAGCACCATACTTCAAAGGAATTTTTGATGTGCCAGATAAGAATGCCGAAACAAATGATGAACAAACATTGAAACACAAAAATTTTTGATGTGTACCCTTATTTTGAAATATCAATAAAATAATTTAAAAAAATCTTGAAAAATGAAATCCGGTAGTTCTGAATTTTTCTTATTTCAATCTCTGGCATAGCGTTAGGTATCAAATTCTTAGAATATCATGGGAGTCGGTAGTCCGACAAGTGTCGCTCATTTTTTGTAAAATGTAAAACCGCCCATTTTTTGACGTCACTCCCCCAAAAACTGTAGGAGCTTTAATACTTTGACGACCAAGATTGAACGGGTGGGAATTTTACAATTCTGATTGCAGATTCGTGATCAGCGACCCCAAAACCCTTGACAAAAAATTTTAGGAGAAAAAAAAATTTGGTCGGTCGACCCCATTTTTCAGTCACTTCATAAGGTTACATGTAAAACTGAAAAATGAGACCAAAAATAGAGTACTACACGCAGAGCCATATCGCATCGCCTGAGTAATATTTTCGAACATTTAAGGTAGTTTTGGAATGATGAAGGTTGCGCATCTTTTTACCTATAATTCCGAAGTTCTACACACAGAAAAAAACGGCTCTCGGAAATCGCATATGTTACTTTTGCCTAAAACGTCAATGTCATTAGCAGCATTGACGTTCCACTGACTTAAAAGCATTGAAATGTCAATTGCTTTGACGTTTCAGGCACAAATTTCCGAGAGCCTTTATGACATTTCGTTAAACCTTATCGCAAACCGGGATAAATAATACATTTAATGGTATTGACATATACAAATGCGATAGAATTCATCGAAAAAGTAGATGCCAGCACCATTCAATATATGGTTTATTCCAGTTTGCGATGAAATTTAGATGTTATGTTTTCTCTGTGTAGCTCTGACCGTTTCAAAAATATAGGATTTTAAAAAATGTGAAAAACAGTTAGGATCTTTTGACTTTGGAGGCATCTGTTGAGCGAGCTGGTAGAAAATGTCAATACTATATAATATTCTTTGGTAGCTACATTCATTTTCTATCCAAAAAGCCTATATTTATCAACATCTGTTGACAAATGTGGAAATTATAGGCGAAACACGAAATGGAACATATGTGTATCACAGTTCGTTAAAAGGTTAAGCTAGTATTCAATAGTTGTAAGTCAATAGTGTTCTTAAATATAGACTGTTATGGCTATTTTTCGTAATTTACCATTTTACACAATATATGACTGCAAAATGCACTGCCTGTATCCACGTGAAATTGAGCGAATATTTTGCATTTGAAATTTAAAAATGAACTCTTATCGAAATGCATGAAATTGAAATCTGTAGCAATTTTGTGGCAAACAGAGATGTTTCTTAAACCCTCTAATGCATGCAACCGCCTCTAGACGGGCAACATTTGTACAACTGTAGAACGAAAATCGTACATCGGATCACATTGCTTCAAAGGGAATTTTTATTCGTCAATGTTTTCTCTTTATTTTTGTTTTTGGCAATATTTGTCTATTGTCTATGTAGTGTGATTGTAAAGTCTAGGGGCTAACCACGGTTTTAAAAATAACCAATAATGATCGACTTTAACATTTTTTATCATTTAAACAAATAAATTCCGATATGATCACATTTTGGTCGATTTTGCCCGATTTTTGCAGTAATTTTTTCGCTTTAACGAATGCATACTGTTCTAGAAGCGGGTTTTGGTGCATCCTCAGGATCGTTCAGAACTGCTCCCGGTTCTGGAAGTGGGTTTTGGTGGATCTTCAGGATGGACCAGACTAATGACGTCAGCACATTAAACGTTTATAGTCGATATTAAACGATAAAATTCAATATATACAGATTTTTTCAATTTTTTACGGATGTGATTAAAATTGGGCGATGAAAAAAGATTATGTCAATAAAAAAATCCGTGGTTAGCCCTTAGTGTAAAGTTATAAACAAAAATGTGTGCAAAAACAAAAATTTGACAAAATTAATTATTCGAACTTCAAATTAGACACATTTTTGACACTTTTAAACAATGGATTTGATTGTTCTCTGATTTATGTCAATCGCATTTCCTGACTGAACCATGAGGGATCCAGGATTATGAATATTTTTAGCACTACATGAAATGTAGAGCTACTAATCTGCGTTTTTTTTTTCTAATACTTTTTCGAGCCATGAACAGAATTAGAGTGGCTTTCAATTTTATGCTCATATTTTTTATTCAATTCAAACTAGTGGCAGTAACGACAAATAAGTGCATAGTATCTCGAAACGCTAATCAAATTTTTATTATCAAATGTTATTTAAAATTTACATTACTTTTTCCTTTTTTTGTATAGTACTCTTTTACCCTTTAGTATAAGTAATGGTTGAGATAAATTCTATGCGCATATTATTTATTTGATTTAAAGGAGTTACATTAATGAAGAATAACGTATAATAAAACAATGGTTTAGTTAAATTGATTTAATATCATATGTACTATCAAGAATTAATTCCCTTTTTTGATTATACATCTTTTTATCATTCATTTTACTTTACGAATCGATATTCGCAAAACAGAGATGACTACAAATGCATTTCGTTATTGTTTTTTTGTTATTTGTATATATCAAAACATAACAAAAATAGTAATGTAAATGAAAAATTAAAAAAACAACAACAACTGAATAAGGTTACACAAGATGTTTTTATTGCTTTCCATATTTCCAATTTATGATATTACTTCTTTTTCTTCTTTAAAGAAAGAACATTCTCGAACGATGAATCCAGAACATTCTTCTTACGCTTTAATGAATTTGCACTATCACTATCCATTTTCTCAGACCCTTTTGGTTCTACTTTCATCTTTTTGGACTTCTTGAAATTGGTAGACTTCTTTTTCCGTTTTGATACTGATTTAATTTTAATGATTTCAACAGATATAATTTCACGCAATACAACGTCAATATTTTCATCATCAGAAAAGTTCATTTCGTGGATTTACAAATAATTTTAACCAAACTAAAATTACAATTGGAATTGACATTCAAATCACAAATATAATTCAAAGACTACTTTAATAAAATACATTTCATGTAGTGCGCCAATAAAATAGTTCGTTGTGGAACAACAAAATAGAAAAAGTATCTATAAACTCAAGAACGCAGAGCGGAGCGGAGCGACGCTCTGCGGTCTTGTTTTAATTATCTATGGCCAGTACTCCCAGCCCTGGGAAAAATTAATGAATTAGAGGGCTAAATATATTTTCAACGATTTAATGAAACATGGGCACGAGTCTTAATTTCTAAGTGATATAAGCAGTGCATCGTACAGTCAAGTATTGCAAAAACAAAAAATTACGAAAAGTAATTCTCTTCGAAATAATTCGTTTAAATCTAAATGGACTCTAAAAGCAGTGATTGCAAATGAGCTAAATTTATCGCATGATTCGGGCGTTCAGCTTGCGAAGTTAGCGTGTATATGTGTACAAAACAATTTCTGTGCGCAATGCATGCAAACTCATCAAACTGAACGCTTAGCTTAAAAGTTATATCTGGAATATTTACAATGAAGGTGAGAATACACCTTGCAAGTAAAATGCTTGCAGCAAACATTTTTTTCCAA